GTGAAATCCTGATTTGTTCCAAAGCCTTGCTCTGCCTGGCAGGCTGGCTTCAGCCAGCATTTGCTGGCTTTTGTTGTGTCAGGACTCATTTGCCACCTTGTTGTGTAGCTGCCTGTGGTTTTCATAGAGGGAGCTCCGGGCTCTTCAGAGCCTGGTTATGAGCTGAATATATACTCCATATCTGGGCTGTCTATTTACAGGCCCTTCTCTGTGCCAGTGCTGGGGCTGTGATAAGTGGGAGGAAGCCCACTAGAAATCTACTGAAGCAGGTCTAATTGAACCAAATAGACCAGCTCAGTAGAGTAGAAAATAGTCCTTATATATCTACCCGAAGAAGATAATGACCTTTTAAATAACAGAAGCAATTTTATTTCAATACCCCAATTACTCTGAACTCTCAAATGTCAAAGTGCCAAGCACTTTCAAAATAACTTAATTTAGACATTTATAGCACTTAGACACTGCTAGTTTCTTATCTAACCTAATTATGGGTTGTACAGGAAATTGCAAAGCATCCCAATTAGTGTTATTTTTTATAGTGATGCATAGGAGCGGCCTTTGCCATTTGCTGTAATCATGTGCATGGTGATTTACTAATTTTGGCTTCTGTGTTAGTTCTTCTTCTATCCTCTGGTTGTTCTTTGAGAGCAATCAAGGAGGGAGTAGAGGTTTGTCTGAAGGATTCAAAGGGCATATTTTCCTCTGAGAGCAGAGTATAGTTGCAAAGCAGGACCATTTAAGATGAAGGGGTGCCATGTAGAAAATAACAGCTGAATAGCAAAATTGTTGATCTTCCTCTGACCTGAGCACTTGGCCCATGATTCTTGACTTTTCTTAAGCAATGTCGACCTTGATATAATAAGGTCAGGTCACATCACTGGGGAAAGAAGAACAACATCTTCTAATTAATTACACACCTATAAGTATCAAAGCAACCCACTGCCAGATTACAGAGAATAAAATTTCACCAAGTATAATATGCTTTAGTGTGAGAAGTGCAGAATAAATGGATTTAGCTCCTTTTAAGAAGAACTGCAAGGCCTAATTAATCCCTGGCCTAACTCTCCAGCTTCAGCCCCGCAGGACAAGTTCAGGGGAAGGAGATGTGTAAAGCTGTTCAATGATTGGAAACAGCCCAGCAATGCTGGTAAGGAACAAGAGAGACACAACAAAGTGCCAAGACAGGGAGGATTCCTGAAATGCCCATTGCTAGGCAAGAGCCCTCCACTGACATGCAGTCTTTTGATCAGCCCAACCAAGTTAGCAAAATGGAATCAAACCTGCTGGTGAAACAAAGCACATGGAATGAGTGCATTTCACACCAGTGCAGAAAACTCAGATGACCACTAATTATGCAGTAAAATTTAGGAATTTTATCTTTTACCCTGGCAGGTTAGACTGAAGCCTAAAAGGATCTTGGAACCTGGACGCCACTCACCCAAGTGTGGTGGAGAAGCCCTCTAAACGCAGAATTTAACCTACAAATTAAACAGTAAATGCGATCTTTTCTGGTCTGAGTCCTTCTTTGCCAGCAGTACCTGGCCAAACCTTGGCTAAGGACACAAGTTTATTGAACTTTTTAATGAAGAGAATCCCACAATTACGTTGCAGTTATACTAAAACAAATAATTTGCTTAAAATTGCAGAGATAATGATATGCTGACCACACCTACCAATTAGAAAATTGTAATAAAGAGTAATAAAATACCTTTTCTTTGGGCTGCAGATTCAACCCCCACACAGCCTGAGACACTAATATGATTTACTCCTATTTGCTGATGGAAAATTCTAGTAATAAAATTTAATGTGGAGGAACAAGGTGCATTTAACCAAAGCTGTAAACATATCTAATTCTATTTAAAGCTATAGGGTGCAGTACATTAACATTTAACAATCTGATATTAAATTGGTGTGAAGCTAATAGAGCTGTATTTGTTAAGATTTCAGCACAAAGCCATCTCTTACCAATGAAAACAGAAGGAGTAACCAAAATAGTGGGACTCAACAGACTCCAACTGCTGCTTAATAAGGTACTAAGAGTCTTCATGGGAACTCCTGTCATAAAAGAACTGTGGGCCACCTTCAGCTCTGCCACTGTTCTGCTAAAGCCGGAGAGGGTTAGGCCAGGGATTAATTTGGCCTTGCAATTCCTCTTAAAAGGAGCTAAATCCATTTATTCTGCATTTCTCACACTAAAGCATATTACACTCAATGAAATTTTCTTCTCTGTAGTCTTTCAGTGGGCTGCTTTGACACTTACAGATATGCAATTCATTGCAAGAGAATATTTTTACTTTCCCCAGTGATATGATCTGACATGATTAAATCTAGGTGGACATTGCTTAAGAAAAGATATAGGAGGTGTCTTCTTGGGAAGATGGGTGTTCTCCCAAGTAAATATTTCTGGCCTTGTTTCGCTCAGCTGGTCTGTTGCTTTTCGGGATTCTGCTGCCATCTGAAGTCAGTTCCAAATAGAAAACATTTTAAAAAGCTGGAATTTTCTGCAGAATGAAGAATTCAGTTCCAAATACTGTGACTTTCTAAGTGCTGTGTAAGAGATAAACACATGTCCTTCAACCTAGGAAGGAATATCTCCCCTAGGAAGCAATAAATCCTACAGAGAGACTAAGACAACAAATCTTAAAAAAAGGTAATTTATTCAGTTCAATTAACTATTATTTTGGGGAATTAGATATCAAACACAAACAAGAATATATACGATATTAATGCATAAAGAATGGTATTCACGAACATGCTGGGCATAAATATGCAATAGAGGATTCTTCTGAACAATGGGCACAATGGCCAGCTCTATGCAAAAGAAATGTTTCTAACCAAACCTGAAAGTTTTCACAGCTAAGTGGTCAAATCATTAATGTGTTAGGATTTCAAATTCCAAAGTAGCAACTAATAAATTCTATATTTTTCTAAGGCCTTTTGAAGAGCTGTCTGCATTACAGATGTCCTCTTTGAATAATCAGTTAGGATGTTCCAAAACTGATGCCTGAATGTTGAATCACTCATTAGCACCAGTTTGGTTTTGGTCAATGAGTTGATTGCTGTTGTCACTGAAAGTCCAACACCTGATCAAGAACAAGGAAAGATACCATGCCCTTTTGGTGGGTGATTAAATTCTGGAATAATGCAAAGGTGAAACAAACATCATTTTTGACAGCTCACAAATGCAAACATTAAAAATGCAAATAATTACTAACAAATCTATTGATGAAATCTGGCTGTAGTTTGGAAAGAACTGTTTTGATGAAGGAATAGAATTGGAATTAGTACTGTACATAATGGCAGCCTGATAAGCTTTTCTTAAATTCCTTTTTATAGAAGAGATTTTTATCCAATGTAGAAGAGGATGACTGCATTTTATATTTACAGATCCTGGCTAGACAATAGCAGATTATGTGTGCTGCCTAATCTCTACCACTGTTCAAAAAAGTTAAAAAGCAGTTTATACAGACTTGCTTATTCTGGTGAACCCCTCCAAAATGCAGTGATGTGCTCTGTCACATGGGTGCCCTTGGATGTCTGTCCCCATCCCCGATTGTCCCGCCACCCTCCTCTCCTGCACTCCCATGGAGCAGGAACAAGGGCACGAGCGTTCCTGTGGTGATTCCCAGCTCTGCTCTGAGCCTGGTGAGAAGCTGCTCTATCACTAAAGGGGTGTGACCTGTAAAGGAAGAAGCAGCTTGGGCCATCTTAGTTATGACTCCAGAACCCACATTAGATACTGCTGAATGAGTGCCTGTCATGGGGCTCCCTCACAGACCGGGAGAAGACCTGGCACGTGCCGAGTATCGGCTCTCCATCACCTGATGGTGACTTTAAGAGCCCAAGCTTCTACATCTCCATGAACTGCACAGTTACTCAAGGGTTAAAGCTTCCCAAGAGCTGGAAGATGTTAGGTATTTGAATTATCACTGAGCTTTGGGGACATTTACACACTGAAGATACACGAGCTTGAAAACATCAGTCCAGCTACTCCTCATGACTGAAATGCCCAGGATGGCACAGAATGGCTCATTTTCCATGCAAGTGTATCAAAGGAAAAGGAAGAATGCCTCTCAGTTATCAAGAGGTAAGGAAAGAGGAATTTTATTTTGTGTCCTGATATTAGGCTCATTTCCCTATCTCTTGAGCCCAGGTCTTTCCAAAGAAGTAACTCCAAAGTCAGCAGGGCTTTACAGAAGGAAGGTTCCATGCAGAAGGAGAAGCTATGTAATTTTTTTCCTCTAGATCAGCAGCTCATTAGTGCAGGCTACAGGAGGTAACTTTTTCAGGTTTGGAAATACCAAACTAAACCAAGACCAAAAGCAGCGTCCTGGTTCTTTCAGTTTTTTACTCACTATCAAGTTTTTCCTACTCCCAATCAAAATTTTAAAAAATCAAATCCTTGAGATGTTCTCAAGCTATAAATCACAGGGGTTTAACTATAAATGTTCCCTTCAGATTATTTTGAAATATTTTATTTCAAACCATACTAAAAGTAACATAAGTTTTTTAACACAATGTCATTTAGAAAGGGAATTTGAAAACATAGAGCACAAACCTTTTAAACTATTTTTTGAGAGGGGGACAAGAAGTAGAAAAAGTAATTTTAGCTTTTCCTTGGCTGTAGCAAAAAGTCTCAGCTTTACTGGGTTATTATTTTTCTGATGGGGTGAAATGCATTAAAGTGGCCATTTTCCTGGTCAGTGGTCTTTTCCTTCAGTAGCAGGTTGATGGGTGTGGATCCTGCTGTTTGTCCTCCTGAGGCTTGCTAAGATACTGATGCTGGCAGCTGGACCCGTCACATCAGCATTAAAGAAGGAATAATGTTTAGTGTTAAAAATGCCCCAGGTGGACCTTCAGTCCATGTCCAACAGAGGTATGGAACACCACAAAGGGTATCTCTGGGATGTCACTTTTTGGCCAGCTGCTTTTTCTATGATTACTTTCAACTACATCGTGTTTAAAAGTCTCATAGAAAAATAGAAGTGAATGAATGGAAATAAAAAAATAAGGATATTTGTATGATTTTTATAAATAAACAGCACAGCAAGAATTAAATAGAACACAGACAAAGGACATTTATACAGGCATGAACTATTACAGCTTGTTTTCCTCAAAGAGTATCTGTGCATAGACTGTCATACTGGAAATGCCTTTGGCTTCCTGAATTGGCTTCATCAGTTCAAGTTCAGCATATGTTAAATTCTCCTCTGCAATTTTTGGCTGCAAAACAGAACCAACAAATTCGTTATAATGTCGTTACCACTGAACGAAGATATTTCATGACATTGGGTATAGTTCTTCTCCCACCCATTCTAATTCTACTATATTGTTAATCAATTTACTCTGCATTAGAGCTAGTTCGTAGAAGATGAAATTAAAATAATATTAAAAATAGGAAACAGGGCTAAGTAGGATTTTCAGATTTGCTTCTAATTAAAAAGAATATTTTGACAATTCAAATATTACAGATTTCACAATTTTAAAGATATATACCAGATGTACTTTCCAGCTGTAAACCTTGGACCAGTTACATTTCTAATCACAGCCACTCACAGAGCCGCTCACTATATTTCTTAATAGAACCAAAAAATGTTAAAAATACACAGAAGGCAGAAAAAACTGGATAGAATTACTGCCATTCCAGTGGAATTTCCCCACTTTTGCCAAGTTGTGGATGAGTTCAGAGTTTAGAACAAAGGCTATTCCACCAAAACTGTCTGCTGTATTACCATGATTGAATTTGATTTAAAATTATAAAATTTAGCGAAGGGAGATGGTCAATAAAATTTGCTGAACAAATTTATCGTGTGTGGCAGAAGCTGCCTACTGCTATTGGCAGCTTCATCCAGACTCAGGTGGCTTAGAGGAGGAAAATCCTGTATTGTACTCTTGTGTGTGTTTTGCTCACAGTTGGGAGTGGGTTGTTCATGTCTAATTCACCTCAGAAAATGTAGCAACAAATAAAAGAGTTGCTGTGGAATTGTATGTGAGAACCTCAGTACTTGAAATGGATTTCATTTTATCTGTAGAAGATTGAGGTTTATGCTCCCTGAAAAAGGGTGAAGTTCTACAGCCCTATGCCAGTGAAGAACTGGAGAATTTGTTCTTTATCTTCTTGAGTACTGTGTTCTACCCAATAACTGGTGTCCTCAAGCTGAAGTGCAGAAGACAATTAAAAAACCAAAACATTTCAGCCATGCAAATTTTTGCAGTCACAAGAAGTAACCATGAGAAAGCTGCATCTCTCAGATGAAGAAATGGCAGTTGTAAACTTAAAACTGAAGTTTTAAAGTTCATAAAGTTTCAAAGTTCATAACCCAAGATTTTCCACACAGTACTTAAATGTTAGGAAGAAATTGTAAATATTTGCCAAGGCCAAAAGAGTCACATTTTATTTATTGCTTATTTATTTCTGATTTAATACAAACAGTTCCTGTTCCCTTGGAATGTGTTTGAGTAAGTATTGTATCATCTTCTGCCTAAAAAGATAAGCATCTAATACCCTCTGAAATCAGCCCCTGTGCTCCCCTGCTTCCTGTCCTTTGCACTGCTCTGGAATCCTCTCCTTTTGCCTTGACAGTTGCTCACACTCAGCATTTCAGGTTCCTTACATCAGGGTGAAAAACTTTACATTTTTCCAGCATTAATTTGATCTTATTTCTTCCCTGCAGATCAAATCCTCAAAAATTTTGATATTACCCTCTTCTTTCTATCCTGAAAGTATTAGCCTCAGTTTCTAGGTATTTAGTATTTTTTTGCTTTTATGTTAAGTTAGAGATTCCTTCTGAGATTTCAAATGATAAGTGCCTATCTATTCAGTCATGCTAATAACAGATGCTAAATACAGGAGTTACATTGAGGGTGGACTCCACAGTAGCACCAACAAATGCTGGATTTTATTTTCAGTGTATGACAATACACAGAATTTCTGTTTGAAGGTATTGAGAATTTTGCTGCCAGCTTTAGTGTCACATCAGACCTTCAATGCATAATGATACACTGTATGTGAAAAGCCTCCTAAAAATGAATCTGATAAAACTTTTGAAACAAAGCTGTTGGTCACTGCCAGAGTAAAACTCTACATTTCCTAAGTCTGATGCAGACATCTGTTGAGGTAGAAATATTTTCATTGTTCTGTAGGAACCAGTTAGTTGTTCAGGACAAGCTAAATCTGTGTATATTTTCCCCTTTGTTTAATCATATTTCTTTTTATGTTTCCATTTAGAAAATGCTGCATGTCCTAAAATAGCCACCCTAACGCCCAGCTCATGTAAATTTTAGAAGTAAGATTTATGAAATCATATTGTCCAGGTGTTTTATTACATTATCTCAAAATTGCATTGTTTTCCAGTGTAGATTATCTCTTTATTCTTACCTTATTCTATTATGTTTGGATATGAAAAATAACACTAGATTCCCCAAAATAAGTCATTGGGCAGTAGTGGCTGATGTGTTGCTTTCATACATTTTTATGATGTTCCTATAGTAAACATAATTTAATAAAGCCAAAACACACTAAATAAATAATTGCATCTAGAAAAGCAATAAAACCAAATAAAATTAGTACTTTCATAAGTGGAAAAGGTACTTCAATTACTGCTACAAGCAACAGCACACCATAAAATGTGTAGAATAATTTCCCTTATGCATATTTCTAGTATGTAATAATTTGATTGAAAATATGAGGAAACACACAGGAGGTTCAAAATTGTGAAAGGTATACAGTTTTCAGCAAAAGATGTGTAATAACAGTGCACTGGAGCCAACAGCACTTTAAGTACTTGTGGTAGCCAGGTTTTTATTCCATACACTCTTCTGCACTTCATTTATCAACCACATGTTTAATTTAATTTTGCTGGTTTGTTTGTCCAAAACCAACTTTTTTGAGCAGACAGGGGAAAAATCCCCTAATTCTACAATTTCATCTCTTATTAGGATTGGATATTGTCTTGGCAGTATTAACCTGGAACTGGGCCACCACCTTCTTTCTGGAACAATTGTGTGACTTCAATAACTGGTGTTATAGGTGGGAGGGAAGGTAGGGCAGAAGAGGAAGAGAAAATCAATGACTTGCCATTCACCCCTCTCTTTCTGTCCTGGGTCTTCCTCTAGGAGTTCACTGGGATTTCTAGGGCTACAACATCCTTTTATAAAAAATTGCATCATTGTTCTAAAATAATATTGAAATTATTTTTTCAAGCAGGATTCTATTCCAATGTGGCATTCCTAGATACAGTATTTATCTTGTATGTCTGTTTTCTCATCTTGGGATCATACACTTTGCCAAAATATAAATTAGGAAGAGTTATGATTTTCCAGTGTATCTTCTGGCAAATGCAAAATGATTCCTCTTCCAGGCTTCTTCCAGTTTACTTTTAGTTTATTCCAGTCACAGGGCTTCCCACTGGCAACTATTCAAAAGAGTTCACTTATAGGAACATTTTTCTTATTAAGCAATCTGCAAGGTCTATCATGTGATTATGTAAAAGAAACTAAAGTATATAAAGTGTGCATATAGTTTTGTTTTTATTGGGTTTGTCAAGTATATGAATGTATTAGAAATTAACTAGAAGCATTGGAGTTTTAATCAAAATTAGTCTGAATTTTATTTCATAATTACCAGGAATGTCAATTTTGCTCCTGCCAGGCTTAGCTCATTTGTCTCTTTGCAGCCTCAAGGATGTTTACTGTGAGAAATGTCAGACTTGAAAGTTCTTGAAGTTTTAACTAAGACTATTCTCATCCAAATTTGTGATTACTTATGAAGAAAACAAGCAAATAATAACTGCTTAAATTTAACTTCTCTGGAAAAACAACTGATGCTAACTTGCACTTAAGAGACTGCTGCAATCTCAGTTCCATGACCATGCATGTTATCATGAAGATGACAAACCCAATGTGAATTTCTAGTTTACTATCAAAAATAAGCAGAAAAAACCTGACTTCGCCAGTTCATTTCAGTCTTAAATATTTTAAGAGACTATTGCTGCAAACATTCCCCTTTGAATTCAGGGTCTATATAATCACAGGTAATGTAGTTTTTGTTTGAGGTATGGTACAGGAAGACTTTTACACAGGGGAAAAAAAACCTATGGATGAAATTGAATTTTCAGCTCTGAGTTTTCTGGATTTAACAAGCATATGTCCCAAACTGTGCACATGGCTGTGGGGTTGGAACTAGATGATCTTTAAGGTCCCTTCTAAAGCCATTCTATGAAATTCCAGTCAGAGTTTCACAGTATTTTTAGTCACTCGGGTTTCCTGCAGTAACACTTGACAATGAAACTCCACCTTCAGTGGCATGCCCTGCAGTCATGAGTGAATGGCTGAGGTCAGCAAGGACAACACCCTGCCAATTCTGCAGATGTTGCTGGTGTGATTGCCAGTCCATGGCAAACTGCCACCTGTGGCCCGGCCATGCCTGCTGTTGGGTGGACATGTGGTGCCCAGGGATGCTGCAGGAAGTGCAAATGGGAAAGGTACAGAGTCAAGAGGTGCTGCTGATGTCTGATCCAGTCCCTAGGAATTGCACTTGCCAGGTTACTCCACAGCACCAAGCAAGCAGCCTTGCCCCACTGCCATGAAGGAGCTCTTCTTAGCAAGCACACCCTGGAACTACCAGTATTTTTCTCTCCCTTTCTCTTGCAAAAGCCAAACTTGACTCTTTGGCTTTTTTCCTTTAATGTTTGAGAAACATCCTGTTTTGTAGTCACAGTCGGTAAAAAGCTCCACAGAAAAAATGCAGATACTGTCCAGATGGCACAGCTCAGGAGCATCCAGTGTCACTGCTGAGCACACTCCATCAGAAAGTGTTGAGACAGGACTCTCCAGGCCAACTGATTGGGCTTGTTTCCACAGGAAGAGATTGTTGGCTGTCTCTGTATGCATGCCCAGAAGGGTGGAAACTGCATGCTGAGTGCAGCCTGAGGGAAAGGGGGTAGCCCATCATCTCTTCTGCATATCTCCTTTTCAAAGCATCTGTTTTTGACAGCTGTGGAGGGGATGGGATATGGCTGCCAGCTTGGCCATCACTGAAGAGGCAGTGATGGAGGTGAAAGTGAGGATATGCTGAAGGAAAGATCCAGCATGTTTGGTGGATGGGCTGCAACTCCCTTGCCTGGGCCACCAGAGATACTGGAGAAAGCACATGCTGGCAGTGGGGTCAGGCAGGAGAAAACTCACTGTGGCTTCAGAGAGAAAAGGATCTGACAGTCCTGTTT